AGATAAAGAAAAAGAGCCGAAGATGGAGAAACAGGGAGCAGGACTTCCTGTAAAGAGTAAGGAGCGCAATAATGAAAATGAGGAAGCAAAGAAGTAGAGCGATCGACTCAACACATTTTGAAAAACACATATTCATGATTTGATTAGTACGAATATTGTAAACACATGTCGGAATGAAAAATCGACATAAATATTGTAAAATTTGATGAACACATACTTGTTGAAAAGTAAACAGATAAGAAGAATGAGAGATGAACGAGCTTCACAATGAGCACGGATATAAAAAAAACGCATTTATTTTGATTTATGTAAATGGCAGCAAAAGTCAGACGATTGAAAGCACTCCATTCTTTTTGTCAGTATTTGCAAACGGAAACGTAATATCATTCTAATTCTGGGAAGGCTGGTAGTCTGTTTGAATAAGTTTCAATTATATGTCTGTCACGAAATTATTCATCCCCCTCAAGAAAACAGAAGGCAATCAACAATCATGAGCACTTTTATCTCTTCAATTTGACGTTTTCTGAAAGCTTTTAGGCGATTATTGCAAGTAGAACAATGGACATGCCAGCTGGATATGCTGATATCTTGAGGTTAACAAGCAGTTTGCCAGAACATTAATGCGAGATTTTCCAAAAATCGAGTGGGCGCCAGTACTTTTCATTCGTTCCTACCATGTGATGAGGCCGTGCATTTTGTTCGTCTTGATAACGCAAGGAGTTTTTTCTTTGTGATAAATGCGGAATTGTATCGGCGGCTTCTTGCTCCGCACTGACGTGCAGCGGAATACAATAGCTCGAAAGGTGGTCATGGGTATTCATCAAAAGTCCGCTTTTGTTGAGCTATGCGACAACCTCCCGTATTTTTGGTCGCTAGGTGGCTCGTTATCTTACTTACAAAAAATGTGATGTTCATCATCTTAAGGACGCGCACAAGACGCTAACGGCTTGTCCTGAAGTTTATTCTGCTTGCCGCAGGCCGCAGACTGTCACCTGCAGGTTCTATCTTCACTACTCCTTCAGTCGTTTTGTATTCACGCTACTCGCTTCCTTCTACTTAGCTTTGAAGCTAAGTCGTTCATCATGTTGATTTTACAATTCAGATGGAATTTCTTTGTCAAGATCAATTGTAGACTAAATTTTTGACGCGTCGTCAGCTACGGCAATTCGTTCTGTTCAGCTAATGCCCTGTGTTTTGAAAATGCCACTGCATCAAGAGCGAAGCGAAGATGATGTAGGGCCACCGACTTTCACTCCAATCTCCAATGCTCAATTTCAAAAGAGTCTTTGAAGGTACTGCGATACAATATTATGCGCTTCCCTCTTTGCTTG